TCAATCAACAATTGTATAGGTTAAATTTTGTTACCTGTTCTTATTTCTTTGCTCAAACAAGTAATTGTTTTTTATGTGTAAATACTTAGTAAACATTCTGGTCTTGGGATAATTCTTGTTCATTTTATTCAAACTATTCGTTTATTAGTTTTGTTTGAAATATTTGAATTATTCGTTTTACTCAAATTATTCATTTTATTTGAATTATTCGAAATATTATTATATTATTTTTTTCTTTATCATTTTTTTTTTTTTTTTTTATAAAATAAAGACATATTTTTATTTAAACAATCATTACCATTTCAACATAGTACTACTACTACTACCATCCTATCAATTGACATCCTATCAATTGCCCAAATCCAACTCACTCCTGTTCTAAATGACCAAAACTAACTAAACAACATGTGGTAAGGTTATTTTCTAAGTGAAGAAGCAAAGGATTAGTTTTAAGTTTTTGTCAAGCATAAAAGTTTTTCTTTGCATTTGTAGAAGTATTTGAGTGTAAATGTAATGAGTTAAAGTTGTTTGGCAAAGTATAAGGTGTTAACAATTGACCAAATGTAAAGTGCAGATATTTATTAACTAAAGTCATTAACACATTTTTTATTTGTGTTAAAGTAATTGCTGTAAACATACAGCTGTTAAATGAACAATTTAAGGAGTCTTTGTAAAATTAATAAAGCTTTAAGTGGTCAAAGGAACTTTTTCCACTTTACATAAATTGTACCATAAAGTGCACTTGCAGATTGTCAAAGTTTTCTAAGTACAAAAAAGAGGCAGTAAGCAAGAAAATTGTTAATTGATGAGTATGGAATATAAAAGCTTGCAATTAATCAACAAGTGTACCTCAAAAGTTAATTCAAATTTATCTGAGGTGAATGTATATAAATGCTTGAATATAAAAATACAAATAATAATAATTACTACAATAATAATAGGCATGGTAATAGGTCACTTCAATTATAAGGAAGGATTTAAACAAAATATAAAGTATCTAATATTTTTAAAAAAAATGATAATATATAATAATGTACACTTCTTTATAATAATAAAAAGCCTAATGTAAATTCCAACAATCAGATGAACAAAATTTATTTGTAAATCTAAATATCTAAATCCATTTGATTAGAATCTATAAATGTAATAATTTATCACATAATAAAAATAATATTAATGTTGAAATTGATATTTAATTTTAAAACTAATAAATAAATAATAATAATTACCATTCAAATCCATTTGATTAAAATCTATAAATATGATAAAAATAATATTAGTATTAACATTGATATTGAATTTAAATCAATAATCAAATAGTTACCATTATTAATACTACCTAAATCAATTTGATTAGATTCTATAAAATGATTATTTAAAAATAATATTAATGTTGATATTGAATTTTAAGATTAATAATCAAATAATTGATAATTACCATTATTGTTGCTAATAATTGTAACTTTATTGGAGTTTATAGGTTGAGGAAGATTTGCAAAATTCAATAATCTACTTGTATAAATGGCATTTGGATGAACAGTTGCTGCAATTGTTGAAGGATTAAAGGATTTTTTATCTGCTTCCTCAAATATTTTTTTTGTTTTTATTAATTCATCAAGCTGTTCTTTAGAATATTCATCCCAATTTAATTTATATTTATCAATAGCATCTTTCCAAAAACCAATAATTTCTAAAATTTCATTTGCTGTTGGTCTTTCATCAGGATCAGCATCTGTGCATCTGTATGCTAACTTAATATAACATTCTGGAGTATTATATGAAAAACTAGGCCTTAAGCCACTACAGATCCTACAAGCAAGATCTAGATCATGTGGTTGATCTTTGAATGGTTGTTGATGTGTTGATGTTTCTGACATTAAAATCCCAAAGCTATAGATGTCAGATTTTTGTGTGTAAGGTTTCTTATTTAAAACTTCTGGTGCAACATATGGAAGTACTCCAAATATACTATTTTTACTTGATGGTTCCTGATCAGCTGGGCCTGATAACCCTAAATCTGCAATCTTTGCCTGGGTTAAAAATTTAAAATATAAAATATTACCACTGTGAAGATCACAATGCATAAGTCTTTCTTGATGAAACTTGCTTAAACCTGAAATAAGACCATAAAGTATTTTAATTTTATCACCCCATTCTATATGATTTGATTTTATATAATTTTTAAAACTTCCATTCTTTGCATATCTCATTACTAAAATATATCCTTTTGTATCTGGATCTTGTGAAATACCAAAAATACTAACAATCTCCTTATGACCAGGTCCTATACATTTAATGTGGTTTTGAACCTTTTGTGAAAATTAATAAAAATTTAATATTATTTGAAAATTATTAATTGTCAATTATACCAAATTATTCACCTCTTTTAAAAATATTTCAGAAATATTTTGAGAGTTTTTTTTTTTAAACTTTTTTAATGCTACATGACCATTTTCCAAATAATATCTTTTATTACCAAAAATATACCTAGGTCCATTTGACCAGCTACCCTTATATACAATTGCAAAACCACCCTCACCTATTACTTCTTTGATTGTAAGTTGACCATAAGGAATCCATTCAAGGTAATGATAATTATTAAATCCTTTTGCCTCAAGCTGTGTATTCCTAATTATTTTTCATCACCACTACTAGTCCAACTTTGAGCTAACAATTTGGGATCACATGATTGACACCACTGGTAATTAGTATTATATCTTGCACAAAC